ATGCTGAATCCATCGGTTTCGTTAACATTATCTTCAGATTGTTCATCTAATCGAGAAGTGCTAAGATACGATTTCATTGCGGGAATTTCGCGGCGAAGCTTTAAATTGGTAGATAGCTTGCCTTTCGGACATTCTAATTCATAATTAGTCAAAGACTCAACGTCCTCCTCTTCTTGTATGGAACGGAAAAGAGAATTAGCCGTTTCGCAGTTTTTACGAAAGCGCCAAGCGGCATTTAAATCATCCAAGCAGTGATTACATATTTTGTTTGAAGTTTTAATGCTTAAATTTCGCAAATTTAGCTCAGAACAAAATGATATTTTTTCGGCAATGCCCATGTTTGACTCTGAAACTATTGTATCATCATCGGTGAATACAGATTTCAAGTCAGCACTATCATTTTGAAGGCAAACAACGCAAACCAGATCCAAGTCAATAACAACTGCCATGATTATTTATTTAATGCTAGTAACAAAATAAATTACAAACATTTACTACATCCTTTATCAAAACAAACAGCATAAATCCACAAACACCAAATGAAATAATAGAATGTCAGACACAGCAACTCTGCCCTTAAAACTAGAACTCAAAAACAGTCGATGTTCGGAACTATCGATGAACAATCCATGTTTCTATTGTAAGACTGTGTTTATACACAACAGACATCCAACTTAACTCAACTTTTGACGCACGCATATGCGGCAAAACAAAAACAACAATAAAAATATGTGGAACGAACTTAAACCAGCTGATTTTTGACCAACTAAATTGAGCCGTTTCATTTGTGGCAATGTTTTCATTGTGTCGTCTCGCCATGATTCAATATTATATATATTATTGAATCATGCCGTCTCGTCATGTTCTGTGCGTTTTATTAGTCAAAAGCAACCCTGTCACGAAGAAAACAGCTTCTATCTGGCGGGGCCTTAAGCATCGTATTTTTATCGGTCTACACGTGCGGGATATCGCATGCGTCGTCACGCGAACGAGACTTTCCTGCACGTGAAGACGGCCGATGATACATTCTCAATTGTCACCCTTTATTCCAACGCAAGTTAACAGAACATCGATATTGGGATAATTGGAAATAGTCGATGCTATCGGTAGTGCCATTTATTGTGTTCCATCTCTATTCAGAACGAGGAGTCAAAACAAAACTATGGAAAAGGAAATGTTTAATCCAACATCATCAATAGTCGCAGCTTTGTGCTCATATTTACTTGAAAAACCGATTATATTTCCTGCAGCAGACCTACCGAAAAATGTATTCAGTTTCATTCGTGTACACAGAGAAAAATTGGAACCCCATGGCGAATTCAGCTTTCCCTGTAGTCTAGATTTATGGAAGAACTGTTGTAAGGAAACAGGCTACAAGATTCGTGAAGTTGCATTTGCAATGTTTACGGAGGGGGAGGAAGATACTTCTAATGCAGCAAAACAAAAGTTTCTGAATGCGGCTGCATGCTGGGAATTTCCAATTGAACGAATACGTATTGATAAAGAGCGTTGTTTCTTGTTTCTACAGCGGCGTGTAGCAATGGGAATGCTGCTTCGAGAAGTGTTAAAAGAAAAAACTCATACACGAAGATATGGCAACCTAAAAAAGGATCCTAACCTTTGTGTATTGTTAAGCACTACTAAACAAACAGAAGAGGAAGTTAAAGAACTACCGTTTTATCGTGCAAATCTTTTAGAAGCAATTTTGCGCAGAGTTTTAGAATACTCCCAGTGGAATGTGGTAACAGAAGAGGACGGTATCGATGCCAAAAAAGGTAATGGACCATCTGTTTTGCAATTGACTGTAACAAGTACTGCTGGCAAACCATTGCCACATCCAACGGTTATTCCCCCTAGTAAGTTGAGATACGCAACAATACGTAGTGGTTTAGTCATTGATCCGCTTACCGGAAAAATGACCAAATTGAAAACCAGTGAGTACCTAAGGTATACTATCATTTACATACACATACATACATATATACATATCGCATACCTTCCTCAAAATAGGTACAACTCAAAAAGATGTAAAAGAGTAATTTTCTAGTTAGAAAATATAATCATAAAGAAAAATAAATATATTTTAAGTTGTGCCTCTTTTGAAGAGGGTGTGCGATATGTATGCCTATATATATGCCCATGATGTATATTCTATTTTACAGTTGTCGTTCGAATGATATGTGTTTAATGGCTATGCACAAATATGGTGTTCGAGTAAAAGACGATTCAAGGTTTAACGCGTTATTGACGCGCTTAGGTGCAGCGGCAGTAACTGTTGACTTAATGGAAGTACGTTTTTCAAGTCCAGTACAAATAATTCGAAGTGGAAAAGGAAGCACTAAAGGTACATAAAAATGTGCATGCATACATATCGTGTCCTAATCAGTGCGAAAGACACTATTTGAAACTTTAGATATTTCGTTACTTGGCTCTCTCAAACGTTCATATACCAAAGTCCCATGTCAAAAAATACCAGATTTATTAGTGTTTTTAACCGACTCCAAAAAAGTAGGAAGGTTTTCAATTTTTTATGTATGCCACTGGATAAGTTTGGACGTTTTCGATATTGTTTTGTTTTTATCGGAAAGTTGTTACCTCAAGGGTGGTTCCACACTACTATGGCTTAGTTACGATCATTGTATCATGAAGAAATTTAATGGTATTCATTGAACTCAGTGGTTACGAAATTTCAAAAGAAAATCGGTAAAGTAGCCGATTGGAGATAATTGGCCAGATTCATAATTAAAGGGTATGCAACTTATTAAATTATTAACTTTGATGAAAGCTGTTGGCTCTTGAATACACTTTTCGGAATTCGTTTTCTTATATTTTTAAGTTGTTAAGTCAGATGAAGAAAAAAAAAACTAGCGATGGATCGGGGTTTTTCATGGATCTTTGACAAATAGTATTCAATAGTTACGTAACTTTTATCAAATTAAAGGTCAAACTTATACCTGCTGTTAATGCGATTTATCTTACAACTATACATTGAACATTTCTGTAAATGAAATCCAAAATTAAATTTGATAAGTAAACAAAAATACCGATTTTTAAAAATATTCAACAAAAATAACTAATATTGAATTTTCTAAAGAAGGCATATTAAAAGCAGTTTACATAAATTTAGTCTTAAGTGATAGAAATGGCCTTCTTCTTCCATGTTCAAAAGCTGTTTTCTTGAAAAAAGTCTTCAGTCAGAAACAGGTAGAACGACTGAAAGCGTGGAGAAAAAAAAAACTATCACAACATTGACTGTTTTCAGGTTTACATATGTCAAATGGAAAGCAGCGGAGGGAGTTTTCATGGCCACCATTCAATAGATCAGGTATTTAGCTTTAGGAATAGTATCTTTTGGTGGACTTTTGCAACATTTGGTAAATCTGACTTTTGACCGGTTTTCCTGCATAAATACTCTTATGTGCGCCGTGAAGAATCGTACAGAAAGTTTATTTTTATACGATTTTCTTTGAAATTCCCATTTCCGTTACTCCTAAAGATTTCGTTAAAATTTCTGGAACTTTCGTTAGTAGGGGATATATGTACATAATATTTATTTATACTGCAGCAAACTAAATGAACGTTAATGCTTTCATTTGACAGGCGCTGCATTTATTTTGTATAACTCCGCGCGGCTTGAATCATTGCTTCGGCGATTTGATGAAAAAGTGGAAAACGGTGACTATGGAGACCTGCCCTCCCTGGATAATATTGATTTGACTTTACTTGACGAAGAAGTAAATGGCTTCTTTACATTTACCCCGAATTCTGTACACTTAACAAATTCTTAATTTTGACTATTTGCCAAAAGAACTACGACTAAAACTATGCTGCAAAAAAATTTAATTTTAGGCGCTTTAAAAATGCACAACAAATCTAGTAAAATACAAACGAAGTCTTAGCGGCATAGTTTAATGCGAAAATGTTTGAAAATAGAGCTGGATTATTTGTCAAGTGCACAGAATAGCAATGTTAGTCGAAAGAAACTGTAAAAATGAACGAGAATTTTCTATTCTAGGAAGAATGGCAACTAGTGTTTAGCTATATATTTGCATTTCCGAACTTAATTGAAAACTGTTTGGAACGGATAGAAAAAGGGATATGTGCCGTTCACACTATCATTCGATTTCTTGGAGATTTGGCTTCGCTCTTCAGTGTCTATTATCGACGCATACGCATTCTGACTGTAAGCGATATTTGAAAATATTAAATGGAGTTATCTGTTTTTTACTATATTCTTTACATTTCTAGCAAGAAACGCGTGAACACTTATTGCCGTGCGTATATGCCCGTATTTACTTGGTAAAAGCTGTGCGTGAAATTCTTAATCGAACATTGGCACTACTCGATATAGAGCCGGTTCAGTTTATGTAAACGGCCATGCAAATATGTACATTACAATTTATACAAGTGAATCTATACTATACAAATTAAAATATACCAAATACATTAAAATCTTTTTGGCAAAAAAAAGCATTTGTTTAGTGTACAACACTTACATACATTTGACCAACTATTATAAGAGAAAAGAATAAAAGTCAATCAATAATTATTGTATTAAGATAAAAATTTTTCAAGTCATCTATAATTACACTGTGAGACAAATGGTAGAGGTCAGTGATCGGGAAGGGTTCAAACTACCGGGGAAAGTTATATCGGTAAAAAAGAAGTTATACGTGTCCCGGCGTTTCGCTGGGTCACGTCTAGGAATCGAGATATATCGATTTGAAGTTAGTAACTATCATATAGGGGAAATTGTCACCTTTGCTGGTTTTTTTTGACATAACTCGAGAACCACTAGTCCGATTTTGCTCAAACAAATATTAAAGCTTTTTAGTAATCTTAGCTACTTACTTTTATACTTCCGGTCCGCATTTTATTATGAATATTTTAAGTCAAAAAACGCCAAAAAGTGCCGAAGTCATATCTAAATTTCTGACAGGTTATTTAAGACCAAAATCTGATTAGTGTGGTTTGATATTAGAATTTAATACCATTAAAAAAATAGTCAGTCATGCCAAATAAATGAATAATGGCCTTAGTTCACTCGGTAAAATATTAGTAGGACTCTTCATCAAAAGTGATAAACTGTTGATAAACTTGATAAAACTATAAATTTACCATTTTCATAAATGAACCGTCAAAGTTTGTATGGAAATCTATTTAACCAAAGTTTATCACTTTATCAAACAACTTTGGCGGATAAATTTATAAATTGCAGCAAAATTCAACCTTGACAGGTTACCAGGTGGTCGCTTTTGCTACGAACACATAACAAGCAAATGAACACAATGGACGAGGTAAGAATAAAACCGTAACTAGCCATATAAGTTAAATAATAAACAATTTTATGCAATTATTTGCCAAGGTGCGTTCATGAAAGAATGCGGATAAACTGATAAATTTAATCAATTTATCCCTTTATCACTTTAGATGAAGACCGCTTATGTTTTGCAACTTTCCTGTCACTATTTTTTGTCACAGTCCATCTATAATGGTATTGTGAATTAATTAAAGCCAAGCGAGTTCACATTTATGAATGTGTTCACTTTTACGAGGGTCCAAATTATAGCAAAAATTATCCCCATTTTATCCCGATCATGCGTTTTAAATTATATATTTGCATTCAAGAAACAAAATTTATTAAACAAATTTTAAATTTTAATTTGAAACCGAAATCCTTTCAATAAAATTCATCGGAGTTATCAGAGAGAAAAATGCATTAATTTGTTAATGCATAGTATTTAAATGTTAATGTAAAAAATTATTGCATCAATTATTGAAATTTAATGTAAATGAAAATTTAAATGCATTAATCCCGAAGAAATAATGCTAATGCATTTTATTTGCATTAACATTAAAAATTTTTTAAATGAATGCTATTGCAATAATTTATTGCATTAAAAGTGCTAAAAGGCACCAAAACCCATAAAATAATTTTATTTTGAAGTAAAAATTCTTTTTAAATTTTTTGCATTAAATTTAAATGCATTAATTCCGAAGAAATAATGCTAATGCATTTTATTTGCATTAAGAACAAAAATTTTAAATGAATGCTATTGCAATAATTTATTGCATTAAAAGTGCTAAAAAGCACCAAAACCCATAAAATAATTTTATTTTGATGTAAAAATTCTTTGTTGACGTTGAGGGTTGAATTTTCGAGGTCAAAAAGGATAGTGGCTTTGGTTGGTCTTCAATGTTTTCAAATTCAATGGCATTTGCACTCAAATAGGTAAAAACACATTGTCGAATGTAACCAAAAACGGTTTATTGACTGATTTAGAACAGAATGGGTATTCAGTCTCAGTGAATTGGCTATCTGTCCGTTTTTGGCCCATAATATAATCGGTATGCACCAGAAATCTACATAAAAGTCTCCAAAGGCGCACTGAGTTGCACTTTATTTTGATAAAACATCTAACAATGTTTACAAGGATTTTTCTTCAAACAAACATAATAGAATGAAGCTGAAAAAACGATTAGTAATTATTCGAAGTCATTCCAAAAGAGGTCATTTATATTTTACTAGAAAATAAATTTAATGCAAACGAACAAAATTATTAAAAATTAAGCATTAAAATTTTTTCATTAGGATTAGTTTGGATAAGTTAATAAAACAATTTTTATTAGCATTATATTTTTCAGAATTAATGCATTGAAATTTTTAATTTGCATTAAATTTCAAAAATTAATGCATTCGTTTTTTTACATTAACATTGCGCTCTAAGTACCATTAATGCAATAAAAAATTAATGAATTTTTCACAACTCTGAAATTCTTCTTATATTCACAAGAATCAAAACGCGTTAGGTACCTACTCTTCCTGGTTACACTTGTTTCTTAATTCCGACAATCTAAGATGTCTGCTTTTTCTTTTGGAGCTCAGTAAAAATCAAACCGTCCCGTACACGAACTATTTTTTAAACACATGTGACCTCCTAATTTGCCAGCCAAATACCCATATTTAGCAATAAAACGGGATTTCCTGAATTCACAAATTCGAAAATTTCATATCATAGCCGGGTATTATCCGATTTGCCCGGGTACCCGGGTAATATACATACATATGTTGATGCCGGTTAAACGAAAAACACCCGGGTAACGCAATATAAAGCTTCTTGTATAATCTTTTTGGTGAGGATAAATATTTTTCAGTGAGACAATTTTTTTTACTAATTTTTTTTATGTCTACAATGTACAAATTAAAACATGTATAAATTAAAACATTAGTTTCTGAACTTAAATTCAAACTTCTAATTTTTGTAAATGCATATACATACATGCATGTGTACATATGTATGTATGCATGTATATTTTATTTTTAAAGAGTATTAAATATTAAAATATTTTAAAACAGGAACCGAGAACAAAGTGTATGCTCGAAACTAAATGTCATTCTCGTAGTTTTGTTCCCACGAACGCGTCAAAACCAAAACCAAAATGAGAACAAAACTGACGAGAACGTTCTCATTGGGCATTATATTAGAACAAAACCCTGTAGAACGTTCCCAGAGAGAACAAAATGCGAACAATACTTTCGGGAATATTTCTAAGAGAACAAAATGCTAACAAATCTCCTGTTTAGCTCCTGGGAGCTAAAGTCCCAGAAAGTTTCTTACAGAGAAAGAAAAAGGAACAAATCTTCTCTGAATTATATCATAGCGTTCCATGACTTTGAAATGTTTGAATATTAAAGTAAATCAAAATCGAACTGAAAGATAATTATGCGAATAAAGTTAACGAAAGACTTAAGACAGAACTTTTAAGAACTTTTTTTTTTTTTTTTTTTTTTTTTTTTTTTTTTTTTTTTTTTTTTTT